TAAAAGAGTTTTAGTTATTTTCTAAGAGAAAAGTAAATGTTTGGTTGGTAAAATGTAATGTAGAAATTTCCATCTTAACATTCTCAATTTATTATCTTGGATATAGTTAAAGATAAAGTACAACATTTTTTCTCTTTTTCTTGTGTTGTTATCTAAATTTAGAATCCTGTCCCATTTTTGAAATCCTATTGCTTTCTCATAATATCTATTTAAAAGCGAGATGTAGATATCTTTCAAGGAAAATGTTTTTATTGGTACCATTTTTTCTTCTCTATCTTTGAATTTAAATTTGGAGTCGGTAGCGACTTTTGTTTTAATTGACTCTTCTTTTATGAGCTCTTGTAACCACTGTTTTGGTATTGCTTTCATCAATTTAGCATATTCCGAAAACCAATTAGCATGGCAAGATAGTTTATTTAAAATCTTATTTTGATTAATTTTTCCTTTATCATCAATTATGTCATTTGCAAATAAAATTTTGCTGTTTATCCAATTTTTGAAAATAAGACATTTACCATTTAATTTGATATGCGTATTGCCCCATATTAGTTGCTGTCTGATATGTTTATATGTTAGTCGATCTGATTCTTTTTCAGATTTTGAGTTTATCCATGATATGATTATTTTTAAGTAAAATTCTGGAACAATTCCTTTTAGTTTATTAATCAAATTAATATTGTTAAAGTCCATTTTAAATATAAGGAATTCTTGTCCAAACTTGTCTAAGTAAAATTTTGGTAAGACTTTCCAATTGGGTGATGAGTCTTCATTATCAATGAGTCTTTTTACCCAATTAATATTTATGGATTCTATATATTTATCTATGTCTATCATTTTAAGTCCGCCAGCAAGATAAGTTTTACTTATTATAGCTCTTTTATCTTTTTCTGGTTTATTATTTCATATAAAACTATATATTATTTTTTTAAATTTTGCGAGATATTCTTTATCAATTACTGTTACTGATGCAACATAGGTTATATTTGGTAGGATTAGTGATCTAACAAGAGTTATTTTACCTAACATAGTTAATTTTCTTTTATTCCAATCTTTAATTATTTTTTCCGATTTTTCGTATTGTCTTTGCAGGTTTAATGTTTTACACTCATTTATTTTTTAAGTCCAAAATATATCCCTAATACTTTTATCGGTTCTTGTGTCCACTTAATGTTTTCAACTTTATCTTTACAGGACTTTAAATTTCCGAGCCATATCCCCTCTGTTTTATTTCTATTAAACTTTAGGCCTGAAAGTGATCCGGAAATTTCTATAATGTTCAAAGTTAATGACTTCTTGTTTTGAATTTAAAAATAAAGTGGTGTCATCTGCAAGCTGGCTTAACTTTAGAGTATGGGATTTAATATCTAGTTTGATTTGAAAACCTTTAAATTTTTTATCATATCTTAATCTACAGGCTAAAATTTCAACAGCAATAACGAAAATTATAGAACTCGCGGGACACCCTTGACGGATCCCTTGCTCAATGCTGAAGGGTCTTGAAATCCACCCATTATTTAATATACAACCCTTTATATCTGTATATAAAGTATTTATCCACTTCAGTAAAGATTTCTGAAAGCCAAATTTCATGAATGAACAATACATAAATTCCGATTCTAACGAGTCAAATGCCTTTGAAAAATCTAAAAAAAAAAGAACCTCTAGTTTATTTTTGTGGTGATATTATCAAAATCTGTTGATGGATTGGTTATTTTTATGTTAATGTCCAGTTGCAAATACTTCATGCATATTGAGGACAACTGAGAAATATAGTAAATGCCAAATCTAATCCCGCATGCGCATGTGAACCAAAAAACAACTTCATGGAATGCTACTTACTTTAAAAACAAAACTTAAATTCGATTTTCAAATATTGAATAATTGTGTAATTGTAGAATGAGCTTTTGCTGCACATGTTTTACAGTGTTACTTTTTAATCAAATTATTAATTATACATTAAATATGGAAAAGCTATAACACAACGCTGTTTCATATTATTTTCAAATTAACTACTTACAACAAGAATGTTTGTACAAAAATAATGAAATTAATTACATGTACATGATCATAATACATAATAGAAATCACAAATATACATTTAAAAAATATTTATAATACCAAGTTATAATATTTTTACAAAAATCAGCTATGATTTATCATAAGGACAACGGAATGTTTTGTTTTGTTTTTATGTCGGATAATTGATAAAAAAAATGTTTTAACTTAAAAAAAGAAGAGAGGCAAAAGATACCAATGGACATTCAAACTCATAAGTCGAAAATTAACTGACAACGCCATGGATAAAAAAGAAAAAGACAAACAGACAAACACCAGTACACAAAACACAACATAGAAAACTAAAGATTGAGCAACACGAACCCCAACAAAAACTGGGTGTGATCTCAGGTGCTCCGGAAAAGAACTTTCCTTTTAGTTATAAAAATTAATTATAACCCCGTTATAGGAGCGGGGGCTAATCTTTTTCTACTTCCGTCTGTCTAGCCAATTGTCAAACAGACATTTGTTAACACATTTCTCAGAACCTACAAACCAAATTTACTTCATATTTTGATTGTAGGGGTTAGGGCAAACGTAGGATTGCTTTAACGATCAGTTGGACACCTATTTTCTGTTTGCCCATACTTTCAATTAAGAGTTGGTGGTATACTTACCCATAACAAAATGTGCGTTCTTGTTTTTATTTAAGTTTGCTGCGAAGTGTTCTCATAGCTTCGGTTTTGTTAAGATGGAGTCATTGTCTCATCTCATTATAAAAAAACAGGGTTGCGTACAGGTGCCCTAAATATTTGATGATTACTGCTCTAATAGCTGCACGTTCTTTTTGGATACAAATATTTTGTAAACAAACTATTTCTTCAAAGACTCAAACACAATTTTATATTATATGTTTTACTATTATTGGTAGAAAAGTTTGCATTTTTTGAACCATGAAATCTGCAGATACTTGGTCAAGTAGAATAACACTTTTACTGAGTAACAGAATATACAAAAAGATTCCCTCTTCTAAGGTTTCTTTTTCTCCGAAAGGATTTTTATTTTTCATTTATAAGATTTTTTCTCCAATTTGATTTTTTTTCTCCTATAGGATATTTTTCTCCTTTAGCCTCTTTCTCTCCATTAGAATTGTTTAAATACACCTTAAGACTTTTGTTGTCCCAAACCACTTGTTTTCCCTTAGATTTTTTTGTTTCTTACACATGATATTTTTCTATAATGGAATCCTTTAGGACTTTAACTTTAGGAAATATTGTATTCTAGATGATTATTTTATTAGAAAAAACAAATCCAATAGGAGAAAGATGACTTAGATGTCCTGTAGAAATACTTTTTTCCTAGGGATTTGTGTAGTCTAAATGGAGAAAATGTATTGAAGATATCCTACGGGATTATGTCTTTTTCCTATAGAATTTCTTAAAATCCGATAAAAAAAAGTAATATTCTACCAATTTTGTTTGCACAGTTTTCACTCGTATTTCCGAACCAGCCAAACTATATCAAAATTTAACATTTTATTGTTGTCCGTATTCTAATTATTTTCACGTTTAATGATTCTACCTTTTAAAAATGTGGTACCAACTGGCACTCATCAGAAGTGCAAATTAATCCGTGAAACTATTATGTGCATTTGTTTTGCAATCAAACATTTTACATTGACCATTAATTCATAATAGTTGATAAAATTGAGAATGGAAATGGGGAATATGTCAAAGAGACAACAACCCGACCAAAGAGCAGACAACAGCAGAAGGCCACCAATGGGTCTTCAACGCAGCGAGAAAATCCCGCACCATGAGGTGGTCCTTAGCTGGCCCCTAAATAAAATTGTGTATTAGTTCAGTGAAAATGGACCTCACACTGAACTCCAAAACATATAAATGAACTAAAATTAAAAAAACATACAAGACTAATAAACTCATCATAGATACCAGGATTGAAATTTTATATTTTCGCCAGACGCGCGTTTCGTCTACAAAAGACTCATCAGTGACGCTCGAATAAAAAAATATTAAAAAGGCCAAATAAAGTACGAAGTTGAAGAGCATTGAGGACCAAAAATTCCTAAATGTTTTGCCAAATACAGCTAAAGTAATCTATTCCTGAGGTAGAAAAGCCTTAGTATTTCAAAAATTCAAAGTTTTGTTAACAGTTAATTCATAATTATGAACATATCAATGATAACTCAAGTCAACACAGAAGTGCTGACTACTGGGCTGGTGATACCCTCGGGGAAATAAATCTCCACCAGCAGTGGCATCGACCCAGTGGTTGTAAATAAACTCATCATAGATACCAGGATTGAAATTTTATATTTACGCCAGACGCGCGTTTCGTCTACAAAAGACTCATCAGTGACGCTCGAATCAAAAAATATTAAAAAGGCCAAATAAAGTACGAAGTTGAAAGGCATTGAGGACCAAAAATTCCTAAAAGTTTTGCCAAATACAGCTAAGGTAATCTATTCCTGAGGTAGAAAAGCCTTAGTATTTCAAATATTCAAAGTTTTGTTAACAGTTAATTTATAATTATTAACATATCAATGATAACTCAAGTCAACACAGAAGTGCAACAAAGGCCAACACTCATTTATGTAATAACACTTCTTTGTAGACATGTTATTTCAAAATTAGTCTATATAGCGGATAACAAAACATTGAGAAGCATTACAGTCGATTTACTGTCATTTTCATTTAGTAAAATATTAACATGAAGATTATGTTCACTTTATAATTCATTTGGTTATTCGTTTATTAGAAGATGTATTCAACTGTTCAACACACACATTCAGGTAAAAACAGATAAATAGAAATAACAATCAATACACTTTTGGACTAATCATGTTTTTATATGAAATGTAGGTATCATTTTAATTCAAAAGTTTATCTTGCCTTTTTTCATCTGCAATAGTCTATTAAATTCGTGTACTAAATCATTTGGCGAGCCATATTCGTGACTAGTTATTACCGTATCCAGTTTTTTACGGACGAATCGGATTGAAAATCTCTCGTCATGTGTCAATTTTATCTTCAAAATTTTAGCTACCATTCCAAGGTAGACATCATCAAGAGATATCATTTTCACGTACGGGAAAGTATTTGCGAACTTTGTTACCATGTCCATAGACAATAACATTGACCCACCGCTGATGAATGGAGGCCAATTTGTGTTACATGTAGGATAATCTTCAGTAGAAACGTACCATTTATTATTTTTATTTCTCTGAACCTTTGTGTGCGTCTGATTGTGACCAATAAACACATTTTGGTTTTTAGATTTTCTAATATTTTCAATGAGATTAATGAGATTTGGAATATTTACATAATAGTCATCATCTACAAATAACACGAACTTTGCTTGTCTACAGTAAGACGCAGCCCAGTTAAATCCCATGATCGTTTTTAAAGTATTGTTTCGATATCGGTCGATAAAGTCCTCTTGGATCAGGTCCTTATGCACATTATATTCCATCTTAATAAATGATTGAACTAACCGTGAATATCCAAGTAGGAATGCTATGTGTATTGAAGTGTTTGTTAAGTTCCCCCATGTGGCCCGGATAGCCATGCGACGTCCAATTTGCAACACATTTGATTTTACTAAGATTAACAAATTTGGATCAGGATTATAACTAGTCGAATTAAAAATAGTGGATGGCTTATGTATATATGTATATGGATGCAGATTAACATTCTTGCCGAGCAGTACACCAGGTTTGACAGCCATTTTATTTGTCATAGTTTCATTTGGAACATTTGTAATAGAATTTGCTAGTGAAAAGGCTGTATTGATAGCTAATAATACTGTCTTTTCCGTTGTAGATTTTAATATTTCGTCTAATGGTGTGGCTCTGAATTTATCGTCTAGAGAAAGAGTCATTAGAAACATTGTTAACATACTTGTCACAAAAATAAGTGCTAGTAATAAGCAAACAATATGTTGGGTTCGTCTGTTCATAATATACTATCCTTTTCTATGAATAAATAATTTCTACGTTATTCCTTTCACGCTTCACAAAACAAAATATTGCTTGAAAAAAAACATCAATGCTTATACATAAATATTTCGACTAATTATTTAACACATGAAAATGCATCATGCATGAAATCATGTTTACGTCTTTATCAAATGTCAAAAGTAATCTACAAGATATTTTTTTACTGGAAAATTAAGAGATACTTTATTTAAAGGAAACACGACGAACATCTTTATATGATACTGTGTAGGAACACTCTTCATGCTTTTAATTTAATAGATAGAGGTTTCGAGCACTCGAGTTTAGCATGCCATTATTTATGTCGAAGAGTAAACACATGATTGGTACATGTGTGCTTTAAGGCAAATAAATAAATTACTCTTCAAACACAAAAAAATTATCTTTATAATCAAAATAACTCATAACTACACAATTCATTATTCTATGTTTTGAAGACAAAATTTCAAATGAAACTTGGTATCATCTGGATTGTTTCATCAACACACTAGTAGCACGATTTTGGTCTTAAACGGACATTTAAGCATGAAAAGGTCTCACTCAATTTCCCGCAAGAGAAAAACGTTAAGACTTTTCACTTTTTAGACGCCGATTCGCATGTTTGTGACTGCAGACAATTAACTCCGTTAAGTCATGTCAAGATAAACTAGACGGATTGTCCTTGCGTACAATTGAGACTTGATCAGATCAAGTTTAAACCAAATCAGACAAAAGAGCCATCGCATATATCCAAATTTACGATATTTGCAGAGGAATTGAGCAAAAGCCTACCATTACAAATTGTGGATCTGTACCTCATTCATAAACTTTATTTTTGAAGTTGTCAGACTGATTTATCCATGACTGTATCTTGTACACCTGAGCAAATTGTTAAAATGAAGGTGAGTTGTCTTTTATAAATACCTAGTTATCACAGCTGGTTCTAGATTAACGTTATTAATAAAGATCAGCAACAAATTTCGCTTTTAAAATGTATTACTGGCACGGGCAATTCTTATAGGCAAAGTCAAAATCTTTGTTTACATGAGACGCTGAAAGGCACATGTCATTGACTTAAAAAAGGGACTATTTTCTTATGGAAACGTTTAATATTGTTTAATTGTAAGTCAAACATGACACACTTAAGACATAGTTATGCCGTTATCATTCCAGTCTACAGGAATAGTTGATAATCAAGGGAAATAACACACTTCGTACCTGCATGTATAATTTCATACAGTAATAATTTGACCATTAATTATTATCTAGTCTAAAAAATACAAGCAAATAAATAGACAAACATATTTTAAGAAATGCATGGATTGCTTTATTTTAATGCACAGGAACAAATCACAAAATGTTGTCTTTTCTCGGGTAAAAAAGGAGGAGAGTCAACCCTTTTAAAACACAGTGGTTCAACTATGCAGCTATGAAGCTACTACTGATATCTCCTCATAAAAAAGGTTAGAATGAATGGTGTGAAACCACAAGGGAGAAGCATCTCTTTCTTTTTGTGATAAAATTTTCAAGAATTAGAGTTTTTCTCTCTCAATAATACAGTCTGTATTTAAATGAAATGATAACGCAACCTGAATAAATATTTTGTCTTATATCAGTTTCAGACGTATCATTCCAGTTAAAACCTGAGATGGCAAATTAGAGGTTTTGAAAAGTTCTGAATTTCTGGTAAGCATTTTACTTTATAAAGAAAGCTCTGAATTGTTTATGAATGGTAAGTATGCAATTTCAATTACAGTCAGGATGTTAAAAATATGCTGATATGAAAACTGTTGCTATGGTCTTGATATTGTATAAAAATGCTTAGTTACTGATCTTTTCGACTCGACATTTTGAGTTTAACCCTTTTGCAACTGTTTGTTATGTAACACTGCATACTTGCTTATCATTATTATAATCAGTGGTTATTTAATGACATGATAATATGTTTGATGTCATAATGTTTAATTAAAAACCTTATGTGCATTTCTCTTTGATAAAGGGTTTCATTGAAATACATTTAAAAAACCCTTTTTATTAAATAAAACTATGTGAAAGGACTAATTTTGAAAATTGCATTTCATTGCACTTTAAATTTTATGATAGCTTTGACAGTAGTTTATAATGGTTTCTAAGGTTGAAAATACCAGATTTCCCGTGGTAACAATTATTGAGTATTTCGATTTTTTGTTTTATAAAATCTACATTTTTGCATAATTTCTCAGTTAAAATACACTTTTAGACATCAGAAAATTTCATTAAATGCTTTAACAGGATCTATATATTGTAATTGGCAGTTATCATCAGATGTTTCATTCATATTGTGACCTGTGAAGGTAAACTGGAAGAAATTAATTATACTTACACATTGTATTCAGAATTAATAAATATAGCGATTAACATTATTAAAGGGTCAATGCCTTATAGTTCTGAAACAGATTTATTTTCTTTCAGAAATGGACAAAAATTCACAGATTTATTCAGAAAGTCATACAGAAGAAAATCACACAAGCATATCTGGAAAAATCTGAACTACGGATTTCAATATGGGTCAATATCCCTAATGCGCCTCAAATTGTTTCAATTGTTAACAAGTGACAGAGCTTTACCATTTGTGCTGATTTGGAGAGCAAAGGACTATAGAATAAAGGTGTAAAAACTACGGAGTTATTAAATGTAACGTCGAAAAATTGGGAACTTTTTTAAACGCTGTGTTATCTGGAATTTCGTTTATCTACGACAGCTCCTATTTTCCGCTCATATCTGTTAATATTGGAGATAGTGTTGTGCCCCAGAAATTTTATTCTATTGTGAGTGTATCATATCAAGTTTTTGGCAAATGTCGCATCTTGTCTGTGCATAGTGTCCAATCTATAAATCAATGTTAATGCTTTAGATAATGTCACAAAAACTAATGTGACAATTTTGTTTCAAAAATACAGCATGCCATTTCAAACGTCTTCCTCATTTGAAAAGGTATATACATTCGCTCAATATCTTCTTGATGATTAACATACTAAAGATACTAAAAGGAACAATCCAGGCGATTTTGTTCTTGATATATAATATATCTCAAATGTCCTTCACTCATCCATACAGTTTTATTTGTGATATGGCCTAAAGCTAAAAAACATATAAAAAATTGATGTGATATTAATAAGGGCCGGCAAAGCTAAAGTAATGCATGAAGTGAATAAACCCATAATTGATTATCATGTAATTACAGAGACGGAACTGAAATAATCCTATCATGTTTAAAGTGAAAAAGAAGAAATAAAAAAAAATCTATTATTTTTCATATTTTCCTTTGATTCCCCTACGTATCATCCTATAGTTATAGGAAATAATATTGTTACGTTTGAGTGTCATAGAAAATGTAGTGTTATGCTTAATAACATGTGGCTATGGTATGACCCTTTTATTCAAATGTGAATATTTTGCTTATAAACATATTGGTAAAAAGTAAAATAACAAAAATATCGAACACAAAGGAAAATTTAAAACAGAGAGTCTTTTATCAAATGGCAAAATCAAAAGCTCAAACACATCAAACGAATGGAACTCAACTATCATATTCCTGACTTGGTACAGGCATTTCCTTATGTAGAAAATGGTGGATTAAACCTGGTATTCATGTTTTATTTCACAAAAATCTTGAGGTTTGGCTTATCAATATGTTCCTAAGAGTATAGATTTTTTATATCATAGGAATCTTGAGGTTCGGCTTACCTTGTCATCAGATTTCAGGATCTCCAAATCTTATTGTTTGCTAGCTTGAGAATGGCATGAACACAAACTTAGATACACGCGGAACATTGTTCAGTCTTTTGAAGGGACTGGTCACCTAGTCACCTTTCATTGGGATAACCTCCCTTATGAAGGGATCCTATATTTCAATTGAAACATAACACAGTTGCAGTTTGACTTCTTAAATATATTTACCTAGCATAATTTATAATAAGAAAAACAGTGAGATATTATTCACATTGAAAAAGTTTTTATTAATTACATATTAAGCAATAACTATAGTACTTAGAAAGCATTACACATGTCAAAGCTATTGTTAACAAATTCATCACTTTAAGAGGATATATCAGTTGGCATATGACACTGATTTTCCCATAGCCATTTGTTTAGATATATAGTTTTAGGCTTTTATTTTCTAACATTTAAATGGTAACAAATATCTCAAAGTCCCACTTTAAACTTCACATCTATACCAACATATTTGTCTTTTTCTTTCAAATATGAAATATAACGTGTTTCATTGCTGCCAATCATCTTCAAAAACGCCGCCAGTTTCTGAGGTGACTAGAAATCAGCTGTTGAAATATATGTTTTTAGTGGCAAATAATCTCTTGCATTAGGTGCACCTCGAAAGATAAAAATACAATTTCTACTAGTAGTGTAAAGGTTTGCAATTTTTTCTGTCTAAGTAATCCTTGCATAATGCATTTTCAAAAGAGAGCTAAAAACGATGAGTTTTACTTAAATGTGTTTTACAACAGTCGCTCACGATCCAAGCAACATCTTTTGTTTTATTCATGTATATAGAAGTGTAATGTTTTACTGGACTGTGAAGGTCTTTCTTTAGAAG